ACAAATACAAGTAGTCCTGAATTTACCAGTCCCTTTACGACCGCTGTAATAGATCTGTGTCAAAAAAATCGAAAATGCTAGAAGCTTTTATTACCAGTCTGAACTTCCTGCTCTCCTAAAATATAGCCTGTACCCCGCCACGGTGGTCTAGTGGCTAAGGTACTCGGCTGCTGACTCGCAGGTCGTGGGATCAGAACCCGGCTGTGGCTTCTGCATTTCCGAGGGAGGCGGAAATGTTGTAGGGGTGCAAGTTAAAAAACCCCAGGTGGTCGAAATTTCCGGAACCCTCCACTACGGCGTCTCTAATAATCAAATGGTGGTTTTGGGGCGTTAAACCCCACAAGTCATTATCGTCTTAAAATTTAACCTTCGGAAATTCCGGTCTCCTGCTAACCCCACTAGAACCGATACAGTTTTCATTATTTTTGAGAACACGGCTGCTTCAAACCCCTTTGTTGTACCTAATGCTTTTAATATTGTCATCTGCGGAAACTAACTACTCGACCACGGAGAGGGAATGCCTACCTGGTATTTGGGCGATATCGAAAGTTCTGATCGTATCCGTATGGCAGTTCAATCAGAGTCGTTACGGACCATCACGCCCTTTGTTGGCTGGCCAATGTCAAGGACTCTTCAGGGTGCCTCGTGAGGTGGAGCTTGCGTCTTCAAGAATTTGACGTAACAGTTGCCTGGCCGTGGGCACGCTGATGCCAATAGCGATTCGTGCGCTCCCCTTGCAAGCACATCGAGTGATGATGATGCCGATGACCATTTTCTTTGCGCGGTCATTGAATCTGACTTGGCCCAACAAGAGCGGAATGCCTCAGAGCTTGTACAAATTATAAAACACCTCGAAGGCCCCAGCCCGTGTCCAAGACGGGCATCCGCACGTTCAGGGTAATTATGTCTTCGAAACGACATCCTCTTCGGAAATTGGCCCCGTATCTGGATGTTTCACCGCAACTATCGTAGAACGGCGATAGTCTTGCACGGGAAAAGAGTCCACAAAACGGTTATTTGATGTTCTGCGCGACAAAGTCGGAGAATTGTATTCTGGAAGCGCTGCGTTAGAGAGTCTCGATCCGTGCAGCGAAGGCTAACGAGCGCATTGAATCATGTTTGATATGAGCGCTACCGGGTAGTTATCTTCGAAAACGAGCGAAGGCATGCCCGCTCATGGATAAAGATGCTAGCCTGTCTCGGAAGCGATAAGGTGTAGAACGCATAGCGACGGGTAAATGCCACCACCATGTCGTCTTAGCAAAGCGTTGGAAACGCTTGCCTCGCGTTGTAGCGTCATTGCGTTGCATCGCGTTGCATCGTCAGCGCAGCGTGATAAATGCCACGGTCCTTAGAATTATTTATCTGCGCCTTCTCTTGTATAAAGACACACATAAAATATTGACGTGTTGTTATGGTGCCTCAGATATTAGCAATAACTGCTTTTTATTTGACAATCGCACCAGTATGAACGCTCAAACTAGAGCAATATAAGCGGGCGCTGCAGTTGGGGCTGGCCGTTCGAGGTATCACTTGATGCCGTTTGTGGTATCGTTACTGTGGACAGACAGACAGACAGACAGACAGACAGACAGACAGACAGACAGACAGACAGACAGACAGACAGACAGACAGACAGACCAAAATTTTGCGTTGATGTTCCCCAAGAAAGACTATCGTCTTTAAAAGAACTTGAACCTTATGCGACCGAATACCTCGTCGTCGTTCCATCAAGGCTACGTCCTGACATTTTATCTGCCTGACACGACGAGCCTTCCTCCGGCCACCTAGGATTCGCGCGTACTGTTGTCCAGATTCAGACTCACTACTGCTGGTCAAAGCTCGCCCAGGATGTTAAGCATTACGTTAAAACCTGTAACCATTGCAGCCGTTTGAACAAATTGGCATAGACTTGCTTGGACGCCCCGGCGTGGTGGTCTAGTGGCTAAGGTAATCGGCTGCTGACCCGCAGGTCGCGGGTTCGAATCGCGGCTGCACCGGCGGCTGCATTTCCGATGGAGGCGGAAATGTTGTAGGCCCGTGTGCTCAGATTTGGGTGCGCGTTAAAGAACCCCAGGTGGTCAAATTTCCGGAGCCCTCCACTACGGCGTCTCTCATAATCATATGGTAGTTTTGGGACGTTAAACCCCACATATCAATCAAGACTTGCTTGGACCCTTTCGGAAGTCACATGATGGAAACCACTACATTGCTAGTCGCTACTGGCTATTCTACAAGGTACTGCGAAACGATAGCCCTACAACGAGGCACCGTCGATAAGATTGCGTATTTTTTCAAGAACAATATTGTCCTCCGCCACGAAGTGCCAGCAGTTGTTATCACTGACCGTGGAACAGCCTTTACAGCCTAACTGATGCAAGAGCCATGAGGCTTAGTGGAACCGTTTGTCGCAAAACGACCGCATATCATTCACAAACCAATGGTCTGACGGAGAGAAGAAACAAGACATTCGCTGACATGTTATTCATGTACGTCGACCACGATCACAAAAACTGGCAGAACAGATCATTCATAGACACATAACCGAGTTTCTTGAAGCAAATAACTTTTTGACCAGCATGAACTTCGGTTTTGTCGCGGCTTCAGCAGAATAACATAGCTTGTGAAACTTCCACACGATATTAGGAGTACTTTAGGACACTGGTTATTAGAGTTATGCCTTATTTATAAATTTTTCAAAGCTGTTCGACATCATTACTCACAGCAAGCTTCTGACTAGAAGTAATATTCAATAATCCGCAGTTGTTCAACTGGATAGGAAGCTTCCTAAACTCACGCATCAAATTCGTTTCATTTAATTCTAAGCTATCCTCAGCTCTTGAAGCCATCCACTCGGCTTCATTAAGCAATGCTAACTGTCCCTGCCCTCTCTCCTCCTCACCGTCACGCCTATCCTCCCCCTCAGCTCTCTTTTGCAGCCGCTTGCTTGTATTCTACATAACAATGCATTGCTTTATTCTCTCCCCTCACTATTTCACTCCTCCTGGTCACTACTTCACAATCCTCGTCCCTTTATGTTTCATTTGCACCCCTTTATAATATGCTGGACCATGTAGGACTATTCTGCACACTGTCCTCCCCTTTTCCTCCTCGCCATGAATTTATTTTTGGGCCCCTCGCTGTACTATACTATACAATACTATACTATACTGTACTATACATAGATACACTGTATTCTAAACACTGCCCTCTGTTCTTTGTTTAGTTCTCACCCTCACAACCTTCATCATCACCCTGACTCCCCTACTCCTTAGTTATATTGTTATACACAGCATTGCTACTATTTCCCCTTTATCCCTTCTCACTCGCCTCCTTCTTCCCAATCCTCGCTTTCGTTTCCTACTCCCGAGGTAAGATACTATAGATTACTGCGCAGTACCTCCTCACAATCCTACCATTATTACTCACCTTCAGTCCCTTTTTCACACTCCTTGGTGTGCAACAATTTACGCAGATTTGCCAATAATTACCCTCCCTCCTTCTATTCACCTTAGTTGGCTTTCACACCTCATTGTTTTACGTTACTATCTTCATTGGGCATTCACTCTCCTCCACATCTCCTAGCGTTTCATTGCACGAACGTCGTCCTCGCGTACCGTCGCTCTTTCTCGATTCGGCCGTACTACGCGGCTGACAAACAGCGGTAGTATAGCCGTTACATTGCTGGTGTTGTAACTCGTTTTGGCTTGCCTTATTAACGTACGTTTCGTTTTATCCAAATATTTTTTTGCGTTTAAGCTATCTCAGTTTAATCGTGGCGAGCAGATGACAGTGAGCCCGTAGTTATATTTCTTATGAAAGTTGTTACTATCAATTTCAGTTGATAGCACTGCGTACGTGTGTCTGTGTTTTCCGCGCTGTTCCTAATGATGATATTGCAACTTCTCGCCCAGCAAGACACCTTCCTGAACCATTTCTATGAGTGAATTCTACACGTCCAACGTGAAAGGACCTGCTGCTACACGAAGTTTTGCTGCGTCAAACTGTGACAGAAAAATGGTGGCAGGGCCACGCTGTTCTGGAAGAATCGGGGAGCTGGGTACGCGTGACGAATTGCCTGCAGGCCACTGTGGATTTTTAACCACACTAGAAAGTCACACTGTGAGGTTTCCAAATAGCTTTTCTAACGTTTTCAGTAGCAAGCTTAAATACCCTAGAAGTATAATTGCAGTCGCGTTTGCTATGTGATCTATCAAGACGTAATACCATCCATGCTGGACTCAACATACTCATTTGTTCTTGGAATTCTTTATGTGACGCTGTATCAACTCTGCAGTTAAATAAAAACAATGTCGCACCTTCTATGTGTCCCCCCCCCCCCCCTTTAATAGAAGAGTAGCCTTCTCTGCCGGCCTACGCCAGCTGGACCACTGCAACCCGGCATGAAACAAAATGATGGTGCACTGATTTACCCGAATTGCACCGCAAGCCGATATTAGTGCATTGCTGCGGTTCCTTAGGGAAACCTTACTGATGAACGCATTGCGAATGTGCGGGAAGTATGCTGGCGCACTGCGTTAAGAAAACACTATTTTCAAGGCTGCGTAGTGTTGTTACACGGTCTTTTTTGTTTTATTTGTTCTACCAAGTGCAGCTAATAAACCAAGTTGTTTCTCTTGTTAGTCTATGTCTTTTCTACACAATTTCTTCCTTATCTCTCCTCTGAGCATATACAGAATACATGCGAGGCGCAAATATCCGCATGCCTGACAACAGCTTTCACGCTTTTATCCAACTTCGTACAAATGCCTTCTCGAGTACTTTGCCAGCGTTTTGGACTCGTTCCCATTTCTTAGTTGAATTGGTGATAACAGGCCGGGAAGTGTCCTTTACCCAACGAAATAAAACGTCTCCGGTCACAAAAAAAAACATAGCTCTATAACTTGATGAACCCTCATTACTTGTGCTGGCTGAGGCCAGTCTTTCTTAGGGAACAAAAAGTACTTGGTGTCTTTCGGGGAACAAAATGTTGGACTTACCTTGAATGCATCAATTGGCTCGCGACGAGTACCGCCCATACTGGCCGGGACAAGAACCGCCAGTATTAGGCATATTCCCACGTTCCGCGAGGCCATGTTCCCCAGCGCAACTTCGCTGCTCGAACTTAGACTGCTGGAGTGATCGGATCACAGCCTTTCGTCTATACGACTGGGTGCAATGACTGTTTCAAGCCGAAGTTGAGGAGAAGATATTGTGTAGGAATGGCGAAGGCAATGCCAAGTTTCTGGGAGTTGGGTGATAACGTAGGAGCTCTCTACTGGAACTGGTATAGCTGTGCTTATCTGTTTTAGTTCCGTCAGCTTTTTGCATGGCACGTGTGAGTGTCGCCACGTTATTCTAAGTAACGAACCTGAGAAAGCCTTCTTAAGTCTCAGTAAGCAGGGCTTCGTGATATTTTCCTCAGCGGCATCGTGAGATCTCGGTGATTGGATATTGGTATTTCGTTTGTATCACCACTGATACACACATGGAAGGGCTCAGCGTAAGTGTTTTTTTTTGTTATTAGGACAGCTACTGACTCCCACCTAAAACATTTAGTAAAACCTCTCATGGATTATAGTACTTAGTCCTTTAGAAAGAGGGAATGTCCTGTTGATTTTGAACTGTTTATTGTTGTAAAGAGCTTTTCACGGGGTGATATGCAAAACGCACTCAGATGTGCTTCACTAATGACGTCTTACAGCTGTTAGAGAGGCCATAGATATACAAATCACTACTTTTATGTGTAATAGCAGCTTACAGCATGCGAAAATTTTCCCATCAACTTATTTTTCCCTGAGCTTCCTATATTACATTGTTTAGATTTCGGACGAATTGAGGGCCATATTTTTATTGCTGCTCCTAAACGAGGTCAGCCAAAGGTGCTCCGTTATAACATTGCAACCATGCCGATCGAGGCAAACGTGGTGTTGGTGTTGCAAACAAATATATCATAGCATTTGCTTTAGTTTAACGAGAAGAAGTGTAATCGAGTGTATAGTTCTGTTTCTGCAACAGGTTTGTTTCTATTTAAACATTTCTCTGGAAAAGTTTTTTGCCTTATTGTGTTTCATATTTTTTAAATATTCAATTATTTCATTACTGAAGGTCTTCCAAGTGTCCTAAGCTTGTGCATGTTTTAACCACTGCTCAACAAACTACCAGAAAGAAACAACGGGTTAATAACATATGCAGTGTCTTGTTGAGTAAATAAATAAAAGGTTAGCAAACCATCAAGGAAGGTAATCAATACTGCCGGTGCTTATATATATATATAGAGAGAGATAAAGATACAAGGAAAGGTAGGGAGGTTAACCAGACGCACATCCGGTTTGCTACCCTGCACTGGGGAAGGGATAAAGGGGAGTAAATAGGTTGCAGAAAGATGAGAAGGTACACGCAATCACGAGCACACTCGGGGAGCACACACAGTTTACAGGCATTCGCTCAGGTTTGTTGACTTAAGGTAAAGTAGCAGTGCTTTAGTTGCTTTCTGCGCAACTAAGGCAGATGCCCAAGGTCCTAGTATCTTCTGCACACAAAATGGTCCGGTCAAATCGATTCAAAACCATCCGTAGCTGGCATCGCTGTGTGTCGTAGCAAGCACAGCTGCACAGGACGTGTTCGATGGTCTCTTCGTCTCCGCAGTAGTCGCATTTAGGAGTGTCTGCCATACCAATGCGAAAAGAGTACACCTTTGTGAATGCAACACCCAACCAAAGGCGGCATAACAGTGTCGCATCGGAGCTGGAAAGTTGTGATGGTAGCTTTAGCTTGAGCGAAGGATCCAGTTCATAAAATTGACACCTTTGGAAGCTGGTAGACGACCAGAACGTGCGCGTGAGATCTCGAGCCAGCAGGTAAAGTTGTCTTGCTGCATCATTCCTTGATAGAGGAATCGGGACTACACGGGTTTCTTCATGAGCTGAGCGGGCTGCATCATCGGCTAATTGATTTCCGGTAATACCGATATGTCCAGGCAGCCATTGTTATATAATATCATGCCCTCGTGCTAGAGCTTCATGATGGCAAGGTCTTATTTCTTAAACAACAACGAAGCAGTAGTGAACAGTAAAACTTCCGTTACGAAAGGTAAGGTCCGCGTTCTAGTGGTCAAATAACACAAGGCTATTCCGTATTCTTAATTCCTTATTGTCTCTTCTAAATTTAACGATGTCTTCTTGTCCACGAACACAATCCGTGTGGGTCGGGTGCTATGATTAATATTTGAAAACCCATTGCACGATGCCTTTTTGTGCCAACTTACTGAAGCAAAGGAAAGAGACTTATTCTGATACTGCTTTTCCACATAGTTTTCTAGAAATTTTCAGTCTGCAGTAAGGTTCGTGCATCTCATGTGTATTCACAAACTCGCGAAATCCCACGACGTCAAAATGACTTCTACCCACAAAACTGCTCATTCAAGAGCCAAACAAGAGCATCTGCAATGAAGAAATAGCCATCCATATCTCCCCTTGCAAATGGTATTCAAGATGGCTTTCTGCCGATCAATTAGGCAGGGGCTTCGCAATGCCGTGGCATAAGTTTATTTATTATAGATTAAGAAATATCTTTATTGACTTTGAGGGGTGCAATAAAGGCGTCCAGTTGGTCTTCGATTGAGTTTAAATAACCTTTTACAAAAAGATGATGAAATATTCGAGGAGTACTTCTGCCTGAGGTCAACTGCCTCCCATGTTTTGTTTACATAACCACTCAGCGGGATTCCCGGTCGCAAACGGCGCGTGTGCCTGTATGGTGGCACAGCATTCTTGGTAGGCAAGTGGTGATAGGCTGAGTTTTCAAAGAAGAAGACGTGAGAAAGCGAGATGACGGTCATTTTTCTGTGGCAAAAATAATCCCAGATACTTGTTGTCTGGTGGTTTACGATGTCATTCTGCGAACGGTCATCAGCTGAAGATGTGTTTCTTCAACGCCTCGCTGCAAGCTGTCACGTTTGTTGCAAGCCAGCATGCGATAAGAAGTGGGAAGCAAAACCTGTTGGAGACTCATGAGCTACCGTACTTCCCTCGCTCGGTTCCTGATAAGTCCAAAGGAAACCATTCCGTCTTCGAAATACTTACCTAGTCGTACCCGCCAGCAGATAACTCCTGCCGGTGCAAAGCACAGTGGTTGGTTTTCTAAGAAAATAAATTGGATCTTATGCAAACACGAAGGGTGGCTTCATTGGGCCCTAAGTTTTACGTCAGGCAGCAGGGAGAAAAAATGTAGAACGAAACAGCTGTACGTTACTCCACGTTTGGCCAAGCTGCAGAAAGGCTCTTTGCTGTTGTGTTAAAATTTTCAAGGTTATGTTTTATTTATTTGTAGAGGTGCAAGGTGCCTTACTGGCTATATGACAAGCCATTAAGATGCCAGCCCGCTCATTTCAAAGCAGCCTACCTGAGCCAGCTCCCCGGATTACTGTCATTAGTTGTGCAATTGTAGCAACGGTTGCTACCTAATAATGCAACTAATGTTTTAACAAAAAGATGGGGTGCTGGCAGTAATTAAAATGAGTGACTACTAGTATTTGCAGTGATAAAAGTTTACAATGCTCTTCTCCCACACCTGTAGTTGTCGCGAACAACAGGACGACTCTTTCATATCTCAACTTCTTTTCATCGACCCACGTTCTTCTTCATGGCATAACCCTAGCGGAGCAATCAGCTCTGGACGAATGTGTGATTTTTTGTTTCACCCCTGAAATGAACAGACAATACCTGTTATAGTCATGCTAAATACGACATACCTGGACAAAACGAATCTTCAATGACCTCCTACTATCGCACGATGAGGAGCTATTTTCCAGATAGAGCAATATACAGATACTTTTGACATCGATGACCATCCTCCAGGACATGCTGAGCGTCAGGTAATTGAGGATGAGGTAGAGAAAATGTTCAAAAAAACACGTCACAGAGCCTTCAACTAGTGCTTGAGCATCACTTATGGTGCTAGTTATAAAGGACAATTCATGTGTAAACGCGACTTCAGGCGTGCCACATTGTAGCTTTCTGGGTCCGCTGTTATTATTGGTTTACATAAATGATAAAGCAGATAACACAAAATCTAGCATAAAATTATTCGCAGATGATTGCGTCATCTACCGTCACAACACTTCAATCACAGACACTGAATTATTACATTATGACTTAGACACAGTAACACGTTGGTGCTGCACGTGGAATATGTGCTTAAATGTCTCAAAGTGCAGCCACGTCAGGTTTGCAAAAAATATTTCAGAAATCTGGCACACATATAGTGTTGATGAAAAGGCAGTTAAAAAGTACCTGAGTGTAAATATTCGGGAATTTAATTAACGGAATCGTTTAATTGAAACAGACACATAGACCAAATGATCTTAAAGGCTAGTAGAATGTTGTTTTTTATTCGCAGAAGCTTTCATTGTGCAACAAAATAGGTAAAAGAAACTCTCTACTTGGTGCATGTAAGGTCTATACTTGAATATGCTTGTGTTATCTGGGACCCGGATCAAAAGTATCTTGCAGAAATAATAGAAAAAATTCAAAACCAGGAAGCCCGTTTTGTTAGGAAAACCTACGACCCATTTGCTAAGATATGAGATATAAAGGCCACATTGGGCTGGGAAACTCTACAACCTAGAAGACAGAAACTTCTACTAAAACTCCTGCATACTATACACTATTAGCTAACAGGAATTGAGAAGTCAGAATACCTACTAGCACCAACTAATCGTTCCACAAGATGCCAACACACACATAAAATACGAGAATACGCATTCGAAACCGCAACTTTCGCCAACTCCTTCCTTTTAAAAACAATTAGAGACTGGAATAAACTTCCCGAAGATATCGTAAACTTCAGTGACAACAGCACTTCTTTTTCATCGTTGTGTCAATGTGACATGCGCATTCACTTTTAGTACCTGTTTGTCACGTGTCATACTGTACTATAATATTTTTTGTTTGCTTGCTGTATTTTTATATGTTGTATTTTCCAAAATGTTTAAAGTGTCACTATCACAGAAATGTTAGTAACCACCTTGGACTTTGTTTACATACCCCCTGCAGCGATGACGCTACGGTGTTGCAGAAACTCTGTAAATAAATGAATAAATAAATAAATAAATAAATAAATAAATAAAACAGCTGGCACTCTTGCGTCGACTACCATGGACGCGCTCGGCTGCTTCTATGGTGCTAGTTTTCTCGTCACACGAGCTTCGATCCAGATACTGGGAATTTTATATTGATGACCTCCAACCGCGAGAAGACAGCATTCATCACACGCGATAGCGTTTACATGTCGAAAGAGATGCTTTTTGTGTTCTCTAATATTGCTGCAACTTTCGAACGCATGATGAACTCTCTGCTACGCGTTTTTATATGTACAACTAGGCTTTGTTATCAGGACTATTTCAATATTTTCTACGAGCCACCTCCCTCGTCTCTCGGCCATTCTCGACGTTTTTAGCTGTGCTGGCCTCCAGCTCAACTCGTTGAAGTGCGCCTTTGGGCG